GGGGTGTATGGTTCCAGGGCACACGGGCTCAGTGCTTCTTTACAATACAGAGAAAATCCAAACTGTAAAACAGAAGTGGCATCTTCCAAAAGGACTCAAGAAGAAGGGGACCAAGACGGGATGGAGACAAGGCTTCCCTGCGGGAGATTCTTCCTGACCCCACATGACCCCTCTGAGACCACAAAGGACTCTGGAGTCAGACAGTGAGTGAGGAGCTCGATGTCCCTGCAGAAGTGGAAAGCAACTCCATTGCCTACGTCCGTCACCACAGATGTCACCCCATCTGCCTTCCGTCTGAAATCCAGACCACCAATGGCATCTTCCAGAAGCTTCTAATCTGTAGGCACTTCGGTATCAAACATGGCACCAGAGAAGAATATTCCAGAAGCCAGACCAACGACCAAAACGATCCTTACTCCAAAGACCAATGGCACAAACTGTGAGTGGTACCCAAGACTGTGGACACTGCCCGAGCTTTTACTGAAGGTACTAGAAGGTCCAGGAGATCTACTGTGGAGATGGAGGAGGTGAGCGCAGGGTCACAAGTTCTATGCCCTTCCTAACTTTTTTCACCTGAGCTCAGAAGCTGTGGGAGCTGACCGTGCTTGGCCTCCTGAGGGCCAGTGCTTCTCTCTCAGGGACTCAGCTCGAAGGAAGAAGAACTCAGGGATCAGCAGACAGTGACAACAGACAGTGAACTCGTGTATCTGATGAGAAGTTGGATGCTACTGGCTGGTGGTAACTGCCACCACAGAATGGATGTGAATCCTCAGCGACCACTGAGCTTCTAATATGGGGCCCTCTTTCTGAGCACCCCCCGGTGAGGCATTCCAGCTGCTCTGTGTGTCTTTGGCATGTACGTTGGGACCATGATGAGACACTGGCACCACGCAGCTATGACTGGCCATGTGTCGCCCTGTGGCGTCCCATCTTCTTAACCCCGTGTGCTGAAACTAAATGAAGGCCAACAGAGTGTGGTATAATCTGACAGCTGCCTTTCCAGCTGCACTCAGTAAAGAGGACCCAGTCATGGTGGGAAATCACAAAGGCCAGGTGTAGCAGGTATTTTCCCCAGTTTCCACATCCAACACAGAGGGTGACCTTGCCCAGAAAGTCTCCAGGTCCGCCTTGAGATGGTGGCCTTTGTTAGCACAAAGAGATTCCTACAGGCAAAGACCAGGCTGGGTGAAACACCCTGGTGACGCTCTAGGAACGCACTAAAAATACATAGCAAAACTGTTCCAGAAGGATCACTGCGAGTTCAAGGCCAGCCTGAGCTACATAATGAGAGGCTGTCGAAAAACAGAAAGGAAGAATGGAAGAAAGAGAAAGAAAGAAAGGAAGAAAGGAAAAAAGGAAGAAAGGAAGAAAGAATATCCTTAGGCACACTTCTTGTTACATAACTTTCAATATTTAATGACAGAACTCCAGCTAGTAAACTCGACACTTGGCATTTGTTTTGTTAACGAGTGTAAAATTGCTACCTGTGGTCATCCTGCCTGCATCTTCAGCGTGAGCACAGTTCTTTGCATCAGAGTTGTTTTATTTTGCTCCAACTCACAGAGCTCCCGTTCCCAAGGGTGACAAAACAGATGAGGCAGGAGAGGGCACTGGGGGCTCTGCCCCGCCTCTCCGGGGGATCTCGAGCATCCGTGAATCTGTAAGTTGGGGCTTCGCAGCCCAGGCTGAGGGCCAAGGGCCAGCCGTGGCTGCAGCCTGGCAGAGCTAAAGCAGAAACAGTGGGGTGGTGCCCGGTGCCAGCCTGGTCCAGGCCACACTGAGACGCAGTTTTCTTGATGGATTAGATCCTGCCGCCCAGCCTCAGTTTACCCAGGTTAGGAAGCAAGTGGTCACGCGGCCACCTTAGTGAGTGAAAGCGTGGGTAAGTGTTACGTGACTTGAAATGGAAAGGGGCGAGCAGGCAACTGAGTGGTTATTCTTATAAACTGCCTATAATCCCAGCACTAGGGAGGCTGAGGCAGGAGAGTCACCAAAAACTTGAGGCCAGCCTGGGCTACATAGTAAGTTCAAGGCTGGCCTGAGCTACCTAGTCAGATCCTGTGTCAAAACAAAACAAAATTGATTAGTGTTTGTTCTTTGGAAAACTTACTTCCCCTCCCAAAGATAATGATTTTAATGTTTAAGTAGTTTATTTGTATTTCCGAGTAAATATTTTCCATTCTAACCAGCTGGCTTTTGAAAGTTATCCTGCTAAGTGTCCCATGTAATGTAAATAATTAAATTCATGATTGGCTTCCATTGAAACATAGAGGTGGTCTCTTTGTTCTGCACAACATGTGACCCTTTTTTCTGGGGTTCCAAGCACTGTAAAGACATCAACATTATCAACTTTGGTACTTTAGAAAAAGATTCAGGTAAAAGAAAGGAAGAGGCAGGCAGAGTTTGGCCTGGGTCTGTAATGAGCTGTGTGTTTTAAAATGATGCAGGCGCCCAAGAATAAGTTGCAAGCTCTGGAAAGAAAACACTGCCCATGTGTGTGCAGGGCTGTTGTCTGCCAGAAAGAACACAGCTCACAGCATCAACCTCGAATCAGCTGCACTCCGGGCTCGGCAGGCCAGGGTTCCCCTAGCCAAGACCCAGCTCCCAAATTCATCATGGACAGGGTTTAAAAAAAAAAGACCTCTCACAAATATGGTGAATCTTTACACTAGGACACTTTCCATTTCTAGCCTCTTCTTTTTCCTTTCTAAAAGAAAAACACCAGTGACACAAAGGGCCTTCAATTCTGTGCCTGGGATCTCAACTCCGGCTCCGAATGGGTTTCAGATCTCATTAATTACAATATTGGCCCCAAGAGGTACAGAGGCTGAGCAAAGAAACACTCTTTGTGCTCAAAATAATTTGAGGAAGGGCAAAGTAGCATTTTACTTACACGTGTAAACATGAGGGGGGAGGAGAATGGAGAGGGCTGGGGAGCCAGCGACATGTTCCGTGGTGTCAGTCAGGGTCACCCAGAGGTGATCGTACCAAGACATGTGGACACAGAAAGTCACCTCTCCACTTCATATACCTGTTGGAGGAGCCCATTCTCATACCAGTGACTCACATTAACTCTGCAAGTTCTGACCTTAGTCCTATTTTATTCTTTCCCAATACTAACAGCAAATCATTTTGGATCTATCATTTATTTCATTTTAAATACCAAAAACCCTGCCACTCCCATCGGGCTCCGTCCCGTAACAAACCTGATAAATCAACGCAGTAGTAGATCAGTAGTAGACTGATTCTTCTGTTACCTTTTCCCACTTTCCTTTCTCTTGGGAAGCAGCAAATGAAACTGTAGCTCTCTCCCTCTCTCTCTCTCTCTCTCTGTGGCCTTGTGCTGTGAGAACACATAGGGTCACACATTTTCATCCTATTAGCAGGTAGTTGGGTGAGCAGTAAAAAGTTAAACTGTTGTCAGGACATCTCATGCCTTACTGGAGGAAGGTCATTTTTCTACCCACAAACACAATCTAAAACTCCTGCTTTAAGCTCTGGCAGTACCCAAGGCTGAGATAAAGGTGGGCATGGTGTGTATCCCTTTAATCACACAACTCAGAAGGTTGAGGCAGGGGGATCTCTGAAAGTTCAAGCCCCTCCTGGGTTACATAGTGTGCTCAAGGCCAGCTTGAGCTACCTACGTAATAAGACCTTGTCTAAAAAAAGGGGGGTGAAGGGAAGCAGCGTGGTTACACAGGCTACAAAACAGACTTGTGCTGGGCCTTCCCCAATGCTTCTGACTGTTTACAAACAAGAATACATCCTAAGTAACGCTGCTGCATTCTGGACAAACACAGACAAGAGAATCCCAGCAGCAGTACAGGGAAGGGTGAGAACTGGGAATCTCCCCCTTTCCAGGTGTGGGCAGAGGCCGAGTGACAGCTGTCCCAGGCCTGCCCTTCACTGTGTCCCCATGTAGCACCTTGTACTGAGTGTGCTATGGGGAAGAGCCTTGAAATGCCTAACATGTGCTAGGCTAAAGCCGCCGAGTAACAGATTACACCGCTCTGGCCTGGCCAGCAGTGTGTGGTGTGTGGGAACAGGCACCCCCTGCACCATGTGGGGAGCAGCAGCTCATCCACAGAGGGGCTCAGTGACAGTGACCGCTCCTTCGGGTCCCAGGGCCATGGGCAGTGCCCCACCCAACCGCAAACCCTGTAGATTAGGAAGAATGCAAAGGGAACCATGAGAAACCCAAAGGACCACGCTGGATGCTGGGCTTAGAACTAGCACGCTGATTCTCCTAGAAATCACCCTACTTCAGCCAATGGCATTTTTCTTACTCTCCTGTTGGCTGAATTTTTGTGCTTTCAATAAACATGCTTTAATTTTTTTTTTTTTTTTTAATGCTTTTGTTTTGAGACAGGGTCTCACTATGTCATCCAGCCTGGCCTTGAACTCACTAAGTAGCAACGCGGCTAGCTGTGGAACTTGCAGCGATCCTCCTGCCTCAGCCTCTGAGTGCCGGGATCACAGGTGTATGCTACCACGTCCGGCTTATTTTTCTTGTAGCTCTCATCATGATGTCTGTTCTGCATTCATTTTGTTCTTCTCTTTGGCGTGTCTCCATTTGCTTGCTTTTCCTCTTCCTTTCCCACCTAACCTTTGCACTGCTCACTTCCCTGCACACTGGGTTAGCATCAGCTTCCTCTGGGCTCTCTTGGCCTAGGCAGTCAGCCCCGGTTCTGGTGCTGGTCCTCCCCACTCCTTTTCCCTCACTGCCCTCCTCCACCTCCTGCCTGGTCCACCTCCTGCCTGGTCGGCTCCTCAGCCAGGCCACCCTTTCCTGCGCGCCCCTGCAGCGCCTCCCAGCCCAGACCACCCTGAGCTGAGCTCTGCCTGGACACTGGAACCCGTGGGCACCGGGTGGGGGTCGGATCCAGGGCCCTCCCCACCTAGGGCCTAGCCAGGCCCGGCCTGTGTCATGGGGGGACACAGAGGGCCTCAGGCCCTGGCCGGGCGGGAGTCAGGAGGGCTGGCACCGGCACCCCAGGGCATCATCTCTCCAGGCCCGCAGGGGCGAAGGGGTCGGGTGGGACCGCCATGGGGCGGGAGCCGGTCACTCGCCCTCCCACGGAGGCCGAGGCAGGGTGCTCTCCAGGGACGGGCGCCGGAGGCGCGGTTCTTCCACGGTCGCAGCGTCGTTCTGCCTCTAGGAGGCGGGTGTCCCCAGCCAGGTGCCCCCCCAACTCCCGGGAGACGGCCAGGGGACACCCTGGGGCAGGGAGCCGTGGGGACAGCGGGGACACAGGGACAGGGGGACGCCCATCGCGGGACCCGCTCAGTTGCAGGCCGCCGAGGAGGCTGGTGGCCTGCGTCCCGCCCCGCACTCGGCCGGCGGGCGCCCCGAAGTCTGGGCCGCGCTCGCTCCGCTCCGCTCCTGCTCCGGCTGTAGTCCAGGCCGCACTTTGCGGCGCGCCGGCGCCTGCTCTCCAGTGAGAGCGGCGCGGGCGGCGCGGGGGGCGTGGCGGCGGCGCAGGGAACAGCCAGTTGTTTAAAATCCTCCTAGAGCAGTTTCTAATCCCCCCTGCGCCGCGGAGGGGGAGGGGCCGGCGCGCGGGCGGCGGCGGGCGGGGGAGCGGGCGCGGGGGGCGGAGCCGCGGCGCGCGCCGGAAGGCGGGAGGGAGGCGGGCCTGTCCGTCTCGCGCGTTGCCGGGGCGAAGGGGGCGGGGCCCCGGCGCACGGCGGCCAATCGCGGGGGTGGCTGCGTGGGTCGCCATGGGGACGGGGCCGTTCCCGGGGAGGCTGTGATGGGTTGACAGGTGCGTGACAGTGGGAGCTGCTCTCGGCACAAGCATGTACGGCAAAGGCAAGAGTAACAGCAGCGCCGTCCCGTCCGACAGCCAGGCCCGCGAGAAGTAAGTCCGCGGCCGGCCGCCGCCCGCGCGCACTCTCGCCGCGCGCGCCCGTGGGGGTGGGGGCCGGGTTTGTGTGCGGGGGGCGCGGGCGCGGGCGCGAGCGTGGCGGCGCGGAGGGAAACTTGTCCGGGCGCGGGGCGGCCCTGCGCGGAAAGTAACTTCGGGGCGGCCGGCGGGAGGGGCCGGGTTGCGGGGCCGAGGCGCGGGGTCGGGCGGCGCTGGCGGTGGAGGACGATCGGGGCTCGGGGTAGCGATCGGGGATCGGCCCGGCCTTCCCGCCCCGCGCCCGGCGCCGAGGACTATGCGGGGTCCGCGCAGTCCTTGGGGCGCCGAGGGATGGCGTAGCGGGCGCGGGGACCCGGTGAAGTTTGGAGCCAGTGTGGGACCGAGTTCCTGGGTGGGGTGCGTGTGTGTATTTTGGGGTGCGGGCCCGGGGCGGCGTGGCTGGCGCAGGCGGGCGCGGGGAACTTGGGTGCAGGAGGTTCGGGGGTGTAGGATCTCCGCCGAGGGATCCCCAGAGCGCGGCCGGCGGGAAGTGCGCTTAGAGGGTCTGGGTTGTGAAGCTGGGCTGGGGGACACAGGTGATCCGTTCTGGGGGACCCCAAGGGGCGCCGGCGAGACGCACAGAGCCCCCTGGCCCCGTCACCGCCTGCGGGGAGCAGGCTTCTCACTGCTGTTCTAGGGTGTGCGGCAGGCAATGTTGGTGGTGGTTGCTAAGCAGAACTGTGACCACGCAGTGGGACCCCTGGGGTCGCGGGAACCCCCGGCGATGCCTCCTGGGGGATCGGTGTGCTCTGGCCTTGAGGGGTCTGCCTGTGGGGCCTGGGGTTGGGATGAGAGAAACCTCCTGCGCTGCCTGGCACCTGCAAGAGCTCCTCCAGCGAGCGCACCGGAGTTCCCTCTCTCGGGGCGCGGGTCCTCAAAGTTTCTGGCGCCCAAGGGATGGGAACCTTTCCTTATCTTGGTGTTGGCAGCGACACTCACATTCCCATGGGGTTTCAGAGCAGCAGGCCTGGATGGAGCACCCCCTCCCCCTAAATTAGGAGAGAGCGCTGTTATCCCCTTCAGAGGAGCTGTGCTGGGGGAATCTGGTTGCATTTGCAAGGAATATACAAAAGATACACCGCGGATGCTGTCCAGAAACAGCAGCCCCCGGAAATGAAGTTCTGAAAGACGAATTCGTGTGCTTTAGCCATGTGCTTGTAATCTATCGGATGAAAACCTCTGTTCCAAGGAGGATGTCTATAAGTGATTGCAGAGAATTTGGAAGGGGTTGAAATGTAATTGAATCCTCCTCTTTAACTTATTTTGGGGATAGCTGAATTTGAGAATCAAAGTAATTTTGGATATTACTTGGACTCCCTGTGTGAACTTTGGCTGAATTATAACCTATATCCTGATAACTTTGTGGGAAGAAAGTGTTGTTTTGGTTGCTGAGATAATAACAAGGAAGTCTGACCCAGCGTGTGTGGGCCTTCCTAGCTCCGATTCTGTGATCCTGTTGTGAAAATAATAACTGCTGTTCTTTGCTGTCAAATCTACTAAACGGAACCCTAACACTGTTCTGAGCAAACTGTTGAGGGCTCTGCTAGATGGTGCTGTTTGATTTAAATATCTTTCTTCATTCATTACAACGGCAGCAGGAATTCTCCACTGGCTGCCTTATGAACTAAATATAGGTGGGGAGGCCACTTTGTGGGGTTGCAGTGACAGTTCCAGTTGATTGTTGCTGCATTAATTTTGGGGTGTATGTTGTTCCAATGGAAGACAAACGAGGAGGGAGCTTGTATTTCCTAGAGTAAACTTAGTTTCATTTTGGTAGGAGAGCTGATCTGATCACGCAGGTTTTCCTCTCTTGTTTACTTGAGATTTCAGCGGTGCTTTTCAGCATTTGTACTCATATCTGAAGATAGGAATCTCTAAGTTCTCTTCAAAGTCTGTCGACTGATTTTTGTTGTTGGTTTTTTTTAAGGTGACAGATTTGCGATTTTAAGGTGGCAGAAATTCTCTCTTCATGAGCAAATTAAAACTGTGCTGAGCTTTAAAAATCATAGAAATAATTTGTTTTTAGTAATAAGTAATGTGCACCAAATAAAAGGGTTCTGAAACATGAGTCTTTTTCCTGGACATGGTGGAGCACACCTATCATTCCAGCACTCTGGGGGGCTGAGGCAGGAGGATCACAAGTCGGAGCCCAGCCTTGGGTATATAGTGACTTCGAATGTGTCTCAAAATAAAAAAGCAGAGGACTGGGGATGTAGCTCTGTGTGAAGACTGGGTGTTTATCCCCAGTATGCCTCCAGATCAGAACTCTTCTGATCTTAAAAGAATACTTTGTTTTTCAGTATTAAGAACTTAATACTTAAAAAACTGTTTTCAGTGTTAAAATGAGTAACAAAAGACTGAAAATGACTTCTTATGAATAATCTGTCAAGGATGAACTTTCTCACGTGAGTTCATAGTACACAGCTGACACACGTGGGCAGTTGTGTTAGAGGCTGCTTGCTTCCTCTTGTGTTAAGAAATCACTGTGTAAAGTATTGGGAATTAATTGGTAGGTTTGACACAGTTCCTAAAACTTCACTCTGCAGTTCTGAACATCAAAATGGCCAGGCTCAGGTTAATTACCTATTTGTTGGGTTAAAAAACAAGCAGATCCAGGCCATTCAGAGGTGTAGATTAGGCTTAATTACAGAGAGGATGAGCTAGACCCTGAGGGGGGTGGGGCGCAGGCAGAAAAATTCTAATTCAGATCTAGTTTGGTCATTTTCCTGCTTTAGCTCACTGTCTTTATAACACTGATCACAATGGTAATGAAATAACTGTGTAATTGGCTATTTAATGTTTAGCTTTCCCTAAAATATAAGTTTCTTGAAAGCAGGGAATAATACTTCTAATTTCTTTGGAGTATTTCTGACATGAAGGGCCGCCTTCCAATATTGGAAGCAACAAATGAACTACATGTTAAAGATGTCAGATGGAAAGGAATTTTTTTTCAATGTGAAATATATTTTTTTCAGTGACCTCCAGGATAAGGACTTCCAAGTTTGAGTTCCACATTCTCTAGTTTAGTTGTGTTACAGAAATACCCCAAACAATGATACAACAAAGTAACTGCTGTTTACTTGCCTCCCTCTATGCCATTCACTGCTTTGTGTACATTTATGTTTGTAAATGTCCAAAAAGTGCAAGATGGGGGATTTGTTTTCCTCCAGTGAGGAAGGATGAGAAGAGACAGTCAATGGTTAAGTAACTCACCTGGAGATACCTGCTAGAAGTAAGAATGCTGGATTTTAACATAGATTTCTGTAAGATTCAGAGCTGTAGTTGATCGTATTTTTCAGCCTGCTGGATCTGGGGTAGGATGCTCCCGATGTAGGGAGCCGCATTATGTAATCAGAATTAGCAGAGTGTAGAGATTTGATCCAGCACAGTGGGGACTCCTATGGCCCCTGTGCACAGCTGAATTTTGGGGGCCCAACATACATGTGTGGCACGTGGAAGGCACAGAAGTTTCAGGAGCAACAGTGAAGCCTAAAGTGATGAGTTCGTATAGCTCCACATTTTCTCTACAGGAATTTGTTAGATCATTTAAGTTTTGCAGTTAAATGCAATAGTTGTGAACAGTTTCTGCATGAAATACTGCTGACCTTCCAGCCATGCAGCACGCTGTACCACTGGAAAGTCACCGGGCTGACACACAGATGCAAAGGATTATTAACTTTTTATTTAACTACTTTGATCTTTTAATATTATGTAATATTATCAAGAGGGGAGTCTACTAAAAGAGTGAAGTTGGATGTCAGATACACATAGCAGAGGGACATTAAGTCAGCTGGCCATAACCAGCAAAAGCAGACTGTCCCTCGCCTGGGACTCCTAAAAGTACTGTGGCTCTTAATGCTGCCCCTGTTGGTGGAATATGCAAGAAACAAACACCATGCACTTGCTTCTAAGCTTGGAGTCTAAAGAACCTTTAAATATTACTCCATCCCAGAAAGTTTCTAGGGATTCCTGCCGGCCACTGTCACTTCACTGCCTCCTCCCACCTTGTCCCACTAAAGCAGCAAAAGACAAATCACAGCCCTCCTCCTTCAGCTGGCACAGGGTCAGTGAGAAGTACACATCGCCTCAGAGACTTGTTTGATGATGAGCAGTTTACACAATTGACAGTCACTAAAATGAATGACAGAATCGCCTTCTGGGAACCAGATCTTCCCATCTTCCCTGAGATACTGCCTAGCTCTCCAAAATAATGAACTGCAGTGGATCTGTGAGATTTCTTTTCTTTTGATTGATGTCTTTTCTATTATTTGAGGAGGAAGATTTAAAAATTTTGGAATAGTGAATCTAAAGAAAGAAACTAAGATTTTAAGATAAACTTTACTATAAGATTATCCAAAGATTTATTGTAACTCTTAGAAATAGTGTTATAAAGTACTATATACTTTCAGAGCTGTGAAAGAAAGAAAAATGAAAGGTTTATTCCCATACTTCCAAAGCAAGTTTGCCCCATAAAACCAATTCAGATTGAGAAAAAAACATCATTAAATTGTGGTTATTCTGTAGTCATCCAGTATGTCTTACATCTTCAGTTGCGACTAGAAAATAGAATTACCTTATTTCAAAATCAAATGTACTGAGGCAGGGGTTAGAGCCCCCAGGATGCCGCTGATTAATGGTCCATCTCAGTAGTTTAGAATTAGAAATAAAGTTTGGGATGGAACCAATTCGAATTTAGAATCTTTTCTTCCATAGAGACCACAGCCATTACATTGGTGTTGGGACAGAGGGTGAAGCCCAGAGTGCTGGACTTAACAGACATGAAAGTACTACCAGGGATGTGTAATTAAAAATATGCA